ATTTATTTATTTTAGAGAGAGAGACAGAGTATGAGCAGGAGAGGGGCAGAGAGAGAGACACAGAATCTCAAGCAGGCTCCAGGCTCTGCGCTGTCAGCACAGAGCCTAACACAGGGCTCAAACCCATGAACCACAAGATCATGACCTGAGCTAAAGTCAGACACTTAACCAACTGACCCACCCAAGCATACCAATTGGGCACCTTTTCTTAAGAAATTATATTTCTGGGGCACCTGGGTGGCTCAGTCAGTTAAGCATCTGACTCTTGATCTCAGCTCAGGTTACAATCTTAAGATTCTGGGATTGAGCCCCACGTCAGGCTCTGTGCTGGAGCCTGCTTGGAGTTCCCTCTCTGCCCCTCCCCTACTCACACACTCAATCACTCTCAAAGAAAGAAAGAAAAAGAGAAAAGAAAAAGGAAGGAAAGAGAAAGAAACTGTATTTTCTAAACTCTGATTCCCAATTATCCTAGTGCTTGTTGAACTTCTAAAGCAAAATTTGCTTGCTCTGGCCCTGGGTATATGCCAGAACTCCCATTCTAGAATGCACTGGGCAGGACAAGAGAGATAACATTAGCAACACATGAAGGGACAAGTCTATTTGTAAATCATTCAGCCCCTAAGCTCTAAAATAAAAATAAATATTCAGCTATCATTAGTAGAATATATTCAAGAGCATAGAATATCAGTGGTTTCCATAGATACATGCATAAAGTTACAGAAAAAATTGACAATTATTTTTTTAAGTTTATTTTTTTTAGTAATCTCTGCACCAAATGTGGGGCTTGAACTCATGACCCCAAGATCAAGAGTTGCCCTACCGATTGAACCAGCCAGATGTCCCAACCATTGTTTAAATACTGTTGTCACTGCGATGATTTTAGTTATGTTAAACTATATATAAACTATTTTAGTTGTGTTAAACTATGGATCTTTAGTTGATGGAATGGAAAAGAAGGTATAAAAATGTATAAAATACAAAATACTGGAAATTATTCTATGTAATATTTATGCCATTAATACAGTTTTTAGTAAATGAGGCAAATATTAGAACTATAGGATATTGAGGAGACATTCTTACACCAGTATTAAAATTCTGTGTGTAAAATTCTTTAATATAGACTTTAATATAGATTTTTATGTATAGACTTTGAAATGTCTGTATGTTTGTCTAGATATCTCTAGACATATACTGTCATTAAAAAGGCTAGTTTCTCACTTGGGGAAAATTTTTCATCTATGGAATTTTACGCTCCAGTTTGTTACTCCTTGTGTGTCTCACAAGGTTCAGGGGAAAAAGGGTGGTGGAGCTCAGATATTTCTGTATTTCAGCAGCCAAATGAAAAAAATCACAAAACATTTTTTCATATTACTAGTGATCAGACTACTAAAAACATTAAGATTACAGTAAATGTCTGAATTATTTAACTCTTTACCTCCTAAAATGTGTGACCAATTTGATGAAAGAGTTAAACTGGATAGAAAACAAAATTGTTTTTAGAACTTTTTTCTAAAAAGTTTAGATATAAGGTAAGGACAGATGTTCCTAGTAAAGGGAACAGCATGTGCAGAGGCATAAAGGATGGAGAGTATTTCAGTATGACTAGACCCCAGGGTAGGAAGGATTACATGAGGGCCATGAAATAGATGGATGCCAGACCAGGAAGGGCATGGTATACCAAGCAAAGGAGATCACATTTTATTCTGAGTCAGGGTGAGCCATTACAAGATTTTAAGCAGAAAAAAAAAAAAAAAAAAAAAAAAAAAAAAAAAAGATTTTAAGCAGCATATTGATATGGTCAGAATAAAATTATAGAAGCCACTATGGTGGTCCAGTGAACTGAGTAGGAATGAGCTAAGACATTGTCTCCAAGGATATACAGAAAAGAGTCAAGAGGTATTTAGGAGGTCTCAGCTCTTTGTTAGGGAGTACATAAACCCAGAATTGAAGAGGGTTTAAAAATTACATTTATGAAGATACATAAGAAAATCAGTGTGGCATTACAGCAAGTTTATTAGGTCAAAAGATAATAGCAAGAAATCTACTGAATGCAACCTTATACTATCAGCATAAAAATAGTTAAATACTAAGTATTTTGGCAAAAAAGAATGCTAGGAGGCAAAAATTATGACAATAGCTTAAAAAGGAACCTGCCAACACACACACACACACACACACACACACACACACACACACACACACCACAAAACAAGGATATTAATTAGCATTAAAGAGAAGGATTTGGGTGGGGCATAAAGTTCCAAACATTTTTCATGTAAATAAATGAAGAATCTAGCTGAGGGGGGAAGACAACCTAAAGGTTTCACTGGGGACATGCTAGCATAGTAAAAGATTTCTCCTTTTCAGAACTCGTTTCTGAGAAACAATATTAACTAAACCAGCCTTGTTTGGCAGCTGTAAATTCCCTAGACTTGTCCAGATGCCTAAAGCAACCCAACCACTTTAGGCTGTAGTTTACCTACTTGTAAATTAAGTTAATTAATGTTTTTGGACCATGAGTTTCACAGGAGTATTATGTACATTATCTGAATCATAACTACCTTGAGATACACACATGGAAGAGCACATAAATAGAATACAAATTGAAATTGATTTTAGTCTCTCTAAAGACATGCCCCAAGAAAACTGATATAATAATCATAATTGTATCAAGGATTCTTGTTTCCAAGAGCTTTCAAATTCAAGTTCTTTTTGCCAGCAATGATGATCATTGGTTGTTACATTCTCCAAATCTTGTTTTCTTAAATTTCTACTTTCTTTGAGGAAGATAAGGAAAAGAAAAATGTGCCCAAGGTAACCTAGGAATAAATTGAATATGGATTAATGAAAATATAATCCTGTAGGCTAAGAAGAAAAAAAATGTATGAAAAATCTGAATCTAATGGCAGAAAAATATCACAGGCTATGAAATCCAGGCTCTATTAAAGCATATCCGTACTGACCTAAATCAAAGACAGACTTCTAAGGGGGCCTAGGTGGCTCAGTCAGTTAAGCATCCGACTTCAGCTTAGGTCATGATCTCCCGGTTAGTGGGTTCAAGCCCTGAATCTGGCTCTGTGCTGACGTTCAACCTGGAGCCTGCTTCAGATAGTGTCTCCAGCTCTCTCTGCCCTCTCCCCTGCTCATGTTTCTCTCTCCCTCTCTCTCTTCTCTCAAAAACAAAGAAACATTAAATCCTTAAAAGACACACTTCTAGATCAGGAGGTAATATATATTTAAATGCTGAGCCATCAAGAAAGATTTTCAGGTAAAAAAAAAAACAAAAACAAAAAACACCCTAAATTCATCAATACAGATTTTGTACTTGATGCATTACTGAGCCTGACAACAACCCAATGAAGTGGGAGCTATTAATCCTATTTAACAGATGAGTAAACTGAGTTTTAGTGAAGGTAAGAAACTTTCCAAAAGTTGTACAGCTGGTAAATGGCACAGCCAGGATTTAATTCTATTTTCTATCTAAACTCCAAAGCCTATGCTCTT